TCATCAATCTGGATTGCTATGCTGCTCCAGGCGGTGACAATATTTCAGCAACGATCCTAAGAAGCTGTGCCGCGACTCTTGCCTCACCTTTAGGTATGATATTTACTCCTTCGTTTACTTCTCATTCACTACCTCAATGCTGGCTAAAAGCAACGTTTACGTTAATTTTCAAGAAAGGTTATAGATAAAATGCAAAAGCTATCGTCCCATCAGAATCACTTCCATAATTTCTAAAGTAACCGAAAAAATCACACTTGGTAAAATTACCAAGTTTGCTACCGAAGATAATATCTTATCAGCCAATCAGCATGTTTTTTTTTTTGGGACTAATATGATAGATATCACCATGCTAGATGTCTTATACCTAGATTTTTTTCGAGAGCGTTCGATCGAGTTCCACACGCACACCTTCTCTATCTACCTTCTCTACAAGCCAGAACACCTTGAAATAAATGGATATCTGTTAAAGTGGATAAAGGCTTTCCTTAGAGAGAATTTACGGTCAGCGTAGGCGATTCACTGACAACTAGTGGGGCGATGTCTAGCGGCGCTCCCAAGGGTTTCGCCTTGGTACCTTTGCAGTTTCTCGTATACACATCGGACCTGCTTTGTGTCATATATTCCTGTTGGTTCTTGAATGCTGATGACACAAAGACATACAATACCCCCCATGCTTATAACAATATCCGCCAACGCTAACGCGACAAAGTTTATGAATGTTCCAGAAGATGGCTGCTGCCCCTGTACTTGGAGAAGTGCTGTGTTTTACACGTCGTAAAGAACAAACCAAATATCAATTACATCATCGGTAACCAGGAAGTCTCCTCTTTCTCCAGTCACATAGATTTAGGAGTTGTTGTATGGGATACCCTATCATGGTTCGAGCATATCCAATACTCAACTACCAAGGCCAAAAGTAGTCTATACCTTCAAGGGCTGCGATAGTTCAACTGCTGGGCTCCAGTACATGTCATATAATATGGCAGGCCACTTATGGAATTCGCTGGACCTGTTTGGTATCCAACGCTACAGCGTGACCGAGACTTGTTGGAAAATATACAAAAGACAGCTATACGCATTCCATACGACCTTGGTATGAGGACAGGCTGAACCTATTCAATTTAACTTAATTCACCGATAGATGCTTACATGGAGGCCTGATAGTCACTTGAGCTTTGTATGGTATCTTCGGCACTGACATATCCTCACTTTTCCATATCAACACCAACCACAAGTCACAACTTCGAACTAATGAAATAGAAGTTTCGAGCTACACGTCGTCACTTTTTTTCTGTCTAACCGAGTATTTGATACCCGGAACAGGCTGCCTTACGAAGTTGTTAATGCGTCCGCAGTTAACAGGTTCAAGAATCGTTTCGACAAATATATAAAAAAGACGCGTGGAACATTATTTCTGGATCAACTCTCGTACACTCCTAGAAATCTTTCCGCAAGTGACCTTACTTTATCTAATCTATAAACCTTGTCCAGAATCGATACTACGATCGCTATGAATTCTCACGTGCAGCCGCCGAAGATTTATAGGCTGGTTACTTTTCCAATTTCGCCCGAGAGTGGCCTCTTTGTGAACAAAGAACGCCGGTCGGTGTTAAGGTGTGAAATATCACATTAAAAAACTGAAAAGATTCCTGGTCCAGGGAAATGGTTCCGATAAGGAAAAGACTACGTTTTGGTTTCCAAGAAAATTGTCCTGGAAATGACTGTACTGATAAGTAGAATTGCTACTTTATCGTAGGTGTAAGATGTGATCCAGAAAGGATGATCGGATGGTAACGACACTTGTCTAAAAGAGTAACTTCTTGTCAGTGGCAGATAGCCAGCTGTTGCGACTGAAATATTAAAGTGGTAACAAGGTTTATTTAAAGTTTTCCTAAGATGTTACAAATCTGATTCTCTTAGACCCGATTTTACTATTGACCCGCGGGAATCAAAGTTTGCTCGTTTGTGACAAACTGGACCAATAAGAAGGCGTCTTTGAAGTAATGGATCTAATGAATTTTGTCAACTCTGCCCTCCTAAGCCAAGCCCCCGATTTGAAAAAACAATTGTAAATTTTGGGTCTAGTGTATTAAAAAGTGTCGTAAATTTCATTTTTCCAATATTAAAGAAGCGTATCTGAAGCAGAAATATGTAAAATCAAGTAATGCTATATCCGTACTCGCAAAAATTTACGAAATACTAAACCCAGTACTTAGAGTTTACTAAACGCTTTCCTCGTATTTTGAACTAGATACGGGTATTTTCTCTAGGAACTTCCAAATACGTGGTTTAATCCCAGCAATATGACCTGTCGCCACCTGCAATATGCGCGCAGGCGACTTGATTAATACCAAAAAATATCCCGATTATATTTGCTTATACGAAAAATATATAGAAATACTAAAATCGAAAAAATAACGTTCGCTAAGTTAGGAATTGAATAATGTGAAATCTGCAAGTCGTACCATATGCACAATTCGGGACATACAATTGAGTCCTTGAATGATGATTGCGAGGTATGCTGGAGCTGGAATCACATTATGAAAGCAAAAGAATCCCGTGAGAGATACTCGTTACATAAAGAAAATTGCAACAAAGACAAAATTTGTGCGTTTCTGTTGATCTTCAAAAACTAATAATGTTGTCTAGACTTGAGATGTTTAAAGAAGCAATATTTGCTTTCCGCCTAATAGTCTACAATGAAAGTCTTGTACCGGAAGAATTTGAGATTTTCTTCCATATGCCATTTTGTGGCATGGGGGCATTAGTAGGCAACACCAAGAGGATATTGTTAGTAGCTTCAATGCATTTTTTCTACACCAAAGAGATTTATGCAATATCACTTTGTGGTTAGATAATTTTGTTCTAGCCAGAATAAAAATTGGGCTTTCTTCTCCTTTCTTGTTCATATAGTGAACTTGACAAGTATATCCCCTGAAACCGTTCACTTGATTTATTTTGCACCAGCTCATACTTGTATGTCGGCGGATTCATTTCACCACCAAGTGGAAGAATCTCTAAATTCAAAACATACGATTTTGCCGACATTGAAGAAGCAGTACAAGCCAGCAACACGGAAAAAGTGCAAATTAGATCCATCAAGGCGAATGATTTTCAGTTGTGGAAAAGCCCCCATTCGGTAGTAAAATTAAAAAGCAAGATCCCAAATTTACTATTGGTAAGATAACGAAGATAATGGTAAAAAGCGACACTGATGCAGAATGGGGAAGCTAGATTTTTTTGGTTAAAAAATATATTGGCGGAATGCCACCACCACCAATAAAAAGGTGCAAATGGTTTTGAGCGAGAAAAAGTAGAAAAATAGCTCAAAGCGGTTGGTTCCGTCATGCCGAATATTAGGAAACAATTGGAATTTGGAATATTCTCCCACAAGAGTTGTCGACTATATAAATGTTCCACTATTTGAGATAAATGTATTGTGTTTTCGTTATCACTCACATATATCAGACATTTTTTCATTTTTTTCAAATAAAGTGATAAAAAAACTGATAAAACTTATTATTTTAATAGCCTTATTTCCGACAGCAGAAACCACAAATATCTGATTAATGCGATTATTATGATGCCAAATAAATTTAACAATGTACTAGAACAAATGCCCGTATTCGCCAAATACGAGGCTATTGCATAGGAAATTAGCGAAACATAACTAAAAATACTCCTCGTTTGGGAGCTAATACATGTAAAAACAATAAAATAAGCTTCTCGAGCATATCATAACTTATTGCTCAATACGCATATCAGTCATTGATACCATGAATGTTCGCAAAAGCTACAAACAAAAAGAAATTTCAAATTGATATTGCGCCACTTTCCAATATTTTCAGATTCGGGAGTCTGGCTTATGAGGCCAGAACTTCTTGTAAAATGTCTCTCAAACTAGAGACAAATTATACGAATTGGGTAAGATGGGCTCCTAATTCTCATATTAAGTCAAGAAGTATTAGGGCGCCGGTGGCAAGGGTAGAAATAGTCGTTCTACTGCCCAGTAGAGGGCGAGAGCCTCCTATCTGGCTTAAGGAGTATTTCGCACGGTAGTAAAGTGAACTAAATGTTTGCTGGACGTTTGTTTAATAATAAGTATTCTGTAATTTTAAGTCCTTAAAGAATTTATCTTTGTAATGAGACACTGTTATTTTCAAAAAATTATTATTGTATATATATATATATATATAACTTGACACGTGGTCATTGTCGTCTAGACCAGTTAGGTGAAAAATTAAAGCTTCCGCCTTTTGTTGGGTACTTCGACAAAATTTAAGCAAAGAGGACTCTTCATACTTTTTTTAATTCTCTCTAGCTTTCAATGGACTTTGCAATCATCAGCAGGAGCTGCAATTACAATGTCAACAGTAGCAACAAAAGTGTAAAATGAATTTAAATTGAATCAACTTACAGTAGTATGTGAGGATATTGTTAATTGTTGTTTTCGTATAGGATGAGGGAAACGTCCAGTAACATGGTGAGAGCTGGATACATGGTACAATGGTTAAAATTATATAAAATATGACAAGACAAGTTAAAGATAGATTAAAAATTATTTAGAAAACATTAGAGCATTACGTCGTGAAGCCACTTGATGATTGCACAAAATGGTGGTCATGAAATAATGAGTGAGATGAAACCTTTGACAGAAGGCCGAAGGTTGTCAATGTCTGTGTTGAAAGATGGAACGAATTGTGGGCGTGTGCCAATACGTTGCCGAATCACTTCAGATGATGTGATTTTCAGAATGTTATGTAAGAAATTGTTAAACCGACCAGAGGCAGTTGAATAAACTATATTTTAATTAATGGGAATTTTAAATTAACAATTATTAACACGTTCACTGCGTGTATAATCAAACGCGTATGTCTGAGGAGCTGAATCTGTTTTTGTTATTACCAGTTGTTATTCGTCAAAAAAATGTGTTGTGAGTCAACAACAATCTATTTATTTTAGTTTTTTTATTATTATCGCTATGTCGCCAAAAGGCGACAGCAGCATTATGGACCACAGTACACGATATAGTGCTGATGTCGCCTATGGGCGACAACTCAGTTTTAGTGCATAAAAGAGATAAAGTATAGAAAACTATGTAGTAAACTTTATTGCCTTACAAAAATATATAAATGTCATTCCTGTGTTTAAAAAAATTAAATGCGACTGTCAGTTACACAAAACGGAAAGATATTTATTTTTGTTCTATATGTTTATGGTAGGATGTAAAACAGTCCTTGATGCATAATCCGGGTTTGTCGGGACAGATTTCGCAGTGGTATAATGTTTCCTTCCTAATTTTTGCTGTATGACAGACTTTGCATCTTTTCGTACTATTCTGCCAGTTGAATTTTTTTTAATTATTTTACTAGGGAAATGTTCGGTAGATTGTTTTCCAGGTTTGGGAACATATCTTGGGACTTCCTTTTCTGGCAGCAACGCTTTTATCACCAAAAGTCGAAAATCATACAGGTTTAGTTTTTTCCCTGAGTATTTGTTGTATAAGTGAAAAGAGTTCATCAGTCCCATTTGAATTATATGTATCGCCAGTTTTTTATACCACCGTAGAGTTTTATGTTCAGATGGGTAGTATGCCATCATTTGATCTTGACGATCTATTCCACTCATATATTGATTATACTGAACTATTGGAAGAGGTTTTATTTTTTCTATCCCTCTCTTGTTGGAAACAGATACCATATTGTTTTCAAACTCAGTGGAAATATATGTGACATCCCTTTTATCTTTCCATTTGGCAATCATAACACCATCAGAATATCTTGCCACTGTCTCGCCTTTTTTTAGTTTCATAGTTTTTATTTCCTTTGGATTGTCCTTTCTGTCCTGTCGAAGGGTACCAGTGCAATAAGAATCTTGTTCTAACAAGCGCTTTGACAGCTCAAAGCTGTTGTAGAAATTGTCCATAAAAACTGAGTGGCCATTTCTTAGATAGTCTTGTAAAAGATGTAACACTACTTTAGTCGTATGGCCCTTGCCTCCCATATCATCTAGTTGTCCAGTATAAACAAGGAACTTCAGGACAATACCATTTGGCTCGGTCAGCATATACAATTTTATTCCATATGGATGACGCTTATTTTTTATGTATTGGCGAAATACCAAACGTCCTCGCCACAACATCATTGATTCGTCCAAGGAAAGTTGCTTGCCTGGATAGTAAACTTCACGCATTTTATTGTTGAAGTAGTCTATAAGAGGACGTATTTTATATAAACGATCTTCCGATTGTGGATCAGATTTGGCTACATTTTTGGCAAAGTGAATGCAACGTAAAATGATCAAAAAACGATCACGACTCATTTGTTCCGAGAAACAGGTCAAACCGAAAAGTCTATCTTTTTTCCAATAATCCTGGTATCTACTTAGTCTGATTGTTCCCGTATGTAAAATTAATCCTATAAATCTGAGTAGCTCAGATATGGTTAGATCTTTCCACTGCGAAATTCGTGATTTCTCTGTTTTCCCTCTTTCACAAAAAACATCTATGGCGTAACTGTTAGTTTGCTCGACTATCATACTTAGAACATTTTGGTCAAATAATAAGAAAAAGTAATCAATAGGTTCATTATTTCCCGGTACATCCACTAAGAGTTCATTTTGTTTCACAAAAGAAATGTTTTTGAAGCACCTAGGATCATCCTGCCAGTTTGGCGTGTTTCTAGCTAAATCAGGACCATTATCATTTCCTGCAATTCCTTGATCTATAAAAATGAGAATTTACATCAAAATGATAAGTACACAATAATCAGTATGAAAAGTTACCTCCATCATCAGCCCTATCCATATGCTCGTCATCATCACCGACAATGCTGGAAGCTAAAACAGATAAAAGAATAGTATTTGGCCTAAAAGAGATGCTCGACATATCATTACCCGAGTCACCATCAGAATAATCCGTATCCTCCCACTCACTACCACTATCTTCAAATTCTTGCACTCCAAGTTCTTCATCACTTGATAGATAAGCAAGCATTAACAACTCATTTTCTGTCAATTTTTTCTCGTTTCTAACACGTAGTTTAGACCTTTTAGGGTTCGATGGACCAGCTTCACTATCCATGACTTTGATACCTTGTCACTGGCACCAAAATTCGGAAAATGAAAAACGAAACACAACACGCTTTACTTTAATGCTGTAACGTAATGCTGACCGAAATTCATATACACAGCTCCAGTGCTGAATTCCAACTAACAATGCAAACGATAGCATACCGATGTCGCCGACAGGCGACACCCGCATGGTGGTGGGGAGCGGAATGTCGCCGATTGGCGACATCCGCAGTGAACGTGTTAATAAATCGTGAGAAGAGAATTATTAGATTTTGAGTGGAATGAAATTTGTTGGTGGAATCGGCCAAAACACAGATTATATTTATGGTTGTGAAAAGTCGAAATTTGGGGAGATATGTAAGTTCTCCAATTTTTCGCAGTTTAGCAGATATGAGTAAATGACACTCAGTTGTTTAATATCTGTCCTTTTGTTGATACAGTTGTTATTCATGAAAATGTGGGACATTTCCAGGAATAAACGTTTATTTTATTTTGTGCAATCATCAAGTGGCTTCACGACGTAATGCTCTAATGTTTTCTAAATAATTTTTAATCTGTCTTTAACTTGTCTTGTCATATTTTATATAATTTTAACCATTGTACCATGTATCCAGCTCTCACCATGTTACTGGACGTTTCCCTCATCCTATACGAAAACAACAATTAGCAACATCCTCACATACTACTGTAAGTTGATTCAATTTAAATTAATTTTACACTTTTGTTGCTACTGTTATCATTGTAATTGCAGCTCCTGATGATGATGGCAAAGTCCATTGAAAGCTAGAGAGAATTAAAAAAAGTATAAAGAGTCCTCTTTGCTTAAATTTTGTCGAAGTACCCAACAAAAGGCGGAAGCTTTAATTTTTCACCTATATATATATATATATATATATATATATATATATATATATTTATATTGTGTTGGATCAGATTTATTTCCATGCTTCGAGTATGGCACAAGTGCTTCTTTTCATTTGTGCATTTTAACTTCAAAGACGCCTTCTCAATTTGTGACCAGCGCACTTGTTTGCGCCCCAGCTTAGTAAAACCGGGCATTGGACTTCTTTTACGTTTATTCTGTAGATGAGGTTTCCGATCGGAGAGTTTATCCTCCAGTTGAAAGCTTTTGATGATGTTTTAGCACTACTCACCTCACTAAAATAAGTATCTTCAAAGACATCTTACCTGAAATAGAATACAAAGAGGGATTAATATTCATACTTCAACAAGAAATGGAGTGAGGCATATTTAGTCAAGCGGACTTACGCAGCCCATATGAGACAATACGAGTACTATATCAGGTTGTCATGTTACTCGTTCTTATGCTGTATAAATACGCCAAGATGCAAACTGGAGATTATAGCTGTGCTAGTTGCCTATATTCATTCAACTACGCGTTGTGGGTTTGTTATGCCCTACAAAATATAGAAAGCAAACAAATTCCACTATTGTTTTGCATTTCTCACCATTTAGCACAAGAAAAAGCCAAACCTAACAAAATTGTGAAATGCCCTTCTGGTCCAATCATATTAGACAAAAATACCCCTGGTTTGCGAAGCAATTGTAAATTCTGGTTTTATTGCTGCAAGTTGCTCAAGGGGGTACTCAAAACATGAACGCATTTTTGTGGGAAAACATTTTATTCGACAACAAAGAATGAGAAAACGTATTTTTTGGGGATTCAACCGAATGTGTTGGTAGGAACGAAAAAAACTCTAGAAGAATTTTAGGTATTTGTGAGTCCTACAAAATGAGACCACGTGTAGAAAAATCCGACTAATAGCAAAAAAGTTATGGCCGAAAACCGATGCAAACTGCAGGTTGTGGCACGTTGGTAATGCGACGATGGTTTTTCGCAGATGCTTGAAATTATTCAAATTCGTTAGCATTCGTACTTCATAATAACCGCAACAAAATTGGATCAAGAATTTTTAGGGAATTTCTGATTGTTTATCCCGAAACACATGTTTTCCGGCAATTACTACTAGTTTATTGAACAATATGCAGGGTTAGACATTTTATGGCACAATACACTAGTATATCTTGCCGATATGAAATGCAAACCATTCCGGAAGATAAATGATATTTTTATGCAAAAAAGGATGGGTTTTTCATCTAAACAAATTCAAACATTTCGTGTTTGTGAGTAAATCGCAACAAAGGATACTAGAAATATCTGCTTTGTTTGAAGATGTGTATAGTAACGTATGTTACGAATATCGTATCGCATTTGTTCAATTAGTCAGAAATACGAATTTGTTTAGAAGAAGAAAAACGTAACCCTTGTTTTTCGCATAAAAATAACATTAATCTTTCGGACTTGTTTTGTGATTCATATCGGCAGGGTAAATACGTGTACTTTGCTATCATCAAATGCTCTTTGAGCGAACCCTGTATATTGCTTAATAAACTAGTAGTGATGGCCGGAAAACAGGTGTTGTGATAAACAATTAGAAATTGTCAAAAAACTACTTGACCAGTTTTGTTGTTGTTATTTAGACGTTGCATTACCAACAAGTGCCAAAACCTGCTTTTTGCCTTGTTTTCGGCCTTAACATTTTTGATATTAGTCGGATCATTTAACGTGTGGTCTCATTTTATAGGTCTCATAAATACCTATAAATCTTATACAAAATGTTTTTTCGGTCCTGTCAACACTTTCGATTGATTCCCAAAAAACACGTTTCTCATCCTATGATGTCAAATAAAAAAATTTCCCACAAAAATTGGTGTACCCATTTTATGCCTCCATGTTTTAAATGCCCCTTAGAATAATTTGCAACAATACCAGAACTTTTTCGGATCTTGAGTTATATTGTCCTCAGGGTTTTTAAATAAGCCGAATAGGCGGTATTAATCTGGGTTTTAATTGTAGATGGTAATGCTTTAAATTTTTCATTATAATAGCTACCGCCTGTACGCTTATAGTTACTCCTGGCTCTATTGTTTTTCTTCAAATTTCTCTTGATATCCCTAGTAAACCGTATAGGAAACTTTAGAAATTTATAGCAAAATGTAGGTACATTTTCATCGAGAACATGATAGATGTTATTATATAATATATCACAACCTTTGTTAACATCACTCACGTCGTCTAAGTTTAACCAATTTATGGTTGCAATGGCACTGTACAATTTAGGAAAGTTTGCTCGACGAACATTGATCGAGGGTAATTATTCTATTCAAAGGCACGTGTAACGTTGCGACCAAAAAATTTAAAATACAGAGTAGGATGATACAGACCTTCATTGTCAAGAAGACCTTCTCTAGTAACAGTTAAATTTGTAGTAGATAGTACCAAATCAAGCAACCTTCCCTGATGATTGACAATATCATGGAAATTGCTTAAATTTGCAAAAGAACATAAATCAGTCAAATATTGAGTTTTGCGTTCATTCATGGAACTGTTGAAACCAAGTACATTAAAGTCGCCACATATGATGATATTGAATGATCGAAAGCTCTGAATCAATGCATCTAAATAAAGCTCAAAATCTCCTGAACTTACAAACGGTGGATATAGCTATGCTATCTGATTGAGTCATGCTGGTCATATCATCCACATACAGAATAAATATTGACTGAGGATCACAGTTCCCAATATCATTTATATGAATTAAAAATAAGGGGGGACCTAGTCTAGACCTCTGAGTCTAGTGCAGACATATTTCCATTCAAGACCACATATTGATATCTATCTGTGAGATACGAATTAATGAGCTTTCTGGAACCATACGCTTCTAATTATTTGAGTTCTATCTCATGTGGAATGCGGTCAAACGCTTTGGCGAAATCATAGATGGTACTTGATGAAGACTGATGATTTTTAAATCCTGCTAGTATATAGTTCGCCACATCACTCACAGCCAGAAATAGACAAACTGCTGTTTTCAAAATATTGATTGACTCATAGCAGTAATATCCAGGAAGACGTTCATCGGTCTCCGGGTAGTGGGGGTCATCGGCAACTAAAAATTCAAGAACGGGTGGCGGCTGCATACTTAAGCACCTAACCATTGCTTCTGAGAGCAAATGCTAATGTGACAATAGATCAGCGGGGGTGGAATATATCTGGGGGGTACACGTCTCACCATTTGGGTCTACAAAGGTTAATTCTACACCAAGACGAAGCCATTGTACAATGTTCTCGAAAAAACGACAGACTTGGGCGTCTAGGGGGGAGTGTCACGCTTCCTTTCGTCTCCCTCTAAATTCGTCATTGTTTGTCGTTAATATCTTGATTTAAGCCGTCAATCTACGATCTCTAGAATGTTTTAGTTATAGTCGTAACGGTAAAATGCTAATTGTACTTTCCATATAGCAAAATAGTATAATCAGGGAATCCAGTTCAACATCGAATCAAAGAAGGGGTCGCCAGCCTCGACATCAATCGCTTTGTTGCAAAGTTGAAATTAATTTACAATTCATCCCCCATTCCCTGATCGCGTGTTATCGGGTCTCCCCCGGCAAGCAGGAACAGGCGGGCTAAGGACTTCGTTGAAAAGACGTTTAGCATCACATTATGGGTATTTATAAAGATTCTTGGAGCTAAATCTGCTAAATACTTTGATCGACTTTAAAAGCAGGAGCTTGTTTTCTCACGCTAAATCACTATCAATTCTAAACGTCAAGTGGGTTGACCCTGCACTTCCTATGCAACTCCGTCGTCAGTACATAAATGATTAAGTTTAGCACAATTCAAATACTCTGAGAAAAAAATCAACTACCGACATGCACAAGAGAGAAATTAAACGTAATGTGTCAATCAAACAGTTCCATACAATTAGTCCATAGACATTATTTCCCTGCTGTACTGGTAGTTAACTACCATGTGGCAACGTTGCCCCTTTCCACATCTGCTCGGCGCCGCTGAAGCGAGTCATCTTAGGTTTCGTGCAAGGTCGGTGTATGCGTGTATATTTTTGCGCTTCATTATGGATAGATACATTGGTCGGACCTGTCCGTCAGTGAGTTTAGATAGGAGGTGTACGCGTAAGTTTTAAAAGTAAATTCACCGCAAATCTATAATGTGAAATATGGCTAATGAGTGCATAGAATTATCAGATTTTGGATCGTACAGAATAAATGTACTAATGTCAAAAAAGCACCAAAGAAACGAGGTTTGAGCGATTCTTATTTTTTTCATTTTTGGCCGTTTTCTCCGCCACTACTGGACTAGTTTTCAGAAGCTACAAAGCGTTCTCGTCCTTTGCACAGTAGTAACCTTGAGTAAGAATTTTATCAAAGTCCGATCGGTACTTATAAAGTC